CTAAATTGCTTTACCACAGTCTTAGCACCTTTCGCCTTTCCAAATTCAGAATATTACATCGGTGATAACGAAAATATATAAATTAAATAATCATAAGTCTATAGAAATGTTGAAAAAGTGCATACACTTCTTTTGATAATATATTTTAATGTCAGTCCATCATTTCCAACTTCAGAAGAGAACTTGTCGACGGCATCATCATCTGTTTCGGGCTCTTTATTTCGGGAGCGTAGAGTCTTTATATACAAACAAACGTTTCGAGCGTCCTATCTCAGTGTCGCCGATATGTATATGAAGAATCCATCGATGAAATGAAGGAAGAGTTTCTGGGAGAAAAAAGAGAAGGAAAATCTACATCGGGTTCAGATTGGAGTTCATCGTGAAGGTGAGATTCGTGGGGTGTCTATGGCGTTAGAAGCAGACAGAAGAAAGGACTGATGCTGTTGAGGAGTGTTAGTGGTTGGTGGCGATTTACATGTGCCTGGTAGTGCCGAAACTCTGGCCACTCTGGTTGGCGCCCTTGTTGGTTCCATACTGGAGGTTGATGATGCCCTCGCTGGCCCTCATCTGCTCCTCGGTGAACTCGCGTTTATTCTCTTCAGAGGGTTTGGGACCGAGGCAGGGACCAGTGTAGTCAGGATGTGTGTAGCAGGCTCTTCCCAAGGCCATGAGACACTGGTTGACCTGTGAAATGTTCCTCTTTTCCCACAGGTCAACAGTCTGGAAAACGTCGATCTCAGGGACACCCCACTTCTTGGCGGCCTCCTGGAATCGGGTGATGTTCTCCATCATCTTAAACTGACCCCCGGATGTGTTGATTTTCTGGATGCATCCGGGCATCAGTTTGTTCATGAACTTGCACAGAACGGTTCCATCTCGAAGAATTTCTTCGTATGGTCCAGAAGGTAATTTCTCGCCCATGATTGTTTCGATCCATTGAAGAAGTTCACTCTCAAGTTGAGCATCTCTCTTACCAGCCATCTTGTTAGCTACCTGAGCACTAAGTCCAAAAGCAGGTCCTCTATTGGCCATGTCTGTAGGTTTTTGGGGGAACCGAAACTTTTCCTTCTGTTCGACTCCGTGAATGAG